TATTTCACTAATACACTTGCTTCTAGCATGGTCTACACCAGGTACAAATGATTTCTTTTCCAAGGATGTTCGGATGCCTTTACATCCAAAACAGTCTCACAAATCTGTGCCCTCCATTTCAGGAAAAGACTCTGCATAGGCAATATCAGTTTTCACATATTCTTGGCATACTCAGAGTTTCTCTTAGCATCACGTCAAGACCAAGGAGGTGAAGAGAGGGACTTGCGTGGTCGTGATCCTGCTGCCCCTGCCAAATGTCACCTGCGCTCCTCACTCCTGCAGGTGCTAAACCTGGGGTATTAATTGAAGCCAGTTGGGAGGGGAGGAGGAGCCTGTCAGGCAGGGCACTCCGCCCCCAGCCAGCTGTAAACTTGGCAGGAAGCTCCCTGGACACCTGCCACCTTCCCCAGACAATGACATTTCAGGCACAGGTCCGCGGGGGATGATGTCAGTGAGAGCTTCATGTCAGCTGGATCTTCCCATGAAAAACCAGAGCCCCTGCCAGCGATGGGCTTCGCTGAGGTTTCAGGGCTTCGAAGTGGAAAGAAACAAACAAAAGGCCAGAAAAGCTTCAAACCAGTAAAACAGCATGCCTCTCAGGACTCCCCCCCAATGAACTGATCCTCCTTTATCTCCAGGGCCAATGAGTGGACATTCACTGTGCAGTTGCACTTTATTAAGCAATCTCTCTTGCAACTCTAAATTCTTCAAGAAAAAGCAGTGTTATGGTCTGATTTGCTCCTGGGGGTGAGAAATGGCATCTAGAAGAACCTGCTGGCCTAGGACCTTGAGACAGCTGACAGCCAACATCAGCCTGCACCCCACGCCGTGGAAGCAAATACACGGTTCCAGGATTCAAGTGACGGAGAGGACCCACACAGTAGGACGCGTGTTCAAATGACCATGATCTCTGCCAGTTTGTCACTGACTGATGGGCATCCTTCTGCAATGGCCAGGTGGATCTCTGCCAGGATCACGTGAAATGGTCTCAGGGGGCTCAGGTGACATAAGTACAGCTTCTCTTCCTGAGCTCTGTAGAAGTTAACTGAGAACGAGGCTCCCCACCAGTGGACTGGTGACCCTTATTAGAACTCTAGAGGATCTGGAAGTCAGAGGACCCAGATGTGACTCCTGAATCCACCACCTACCGATCTTGTGCCTTTGGAGCATTCACACCAATGGCCACATGTCTCTTGAAGATGCGATAATAATATTCCCTACTTCATGCGATCACTGAGAGGCTTAAATGAGACAGTGCATGCAAAATACTTAGAACAGTGATTTTCAGACAGCAAGGGTTCAATCAGTACTAGCAATTGTTTCAAAGGCCAATACACCTGCTAGCATAGAGTTTTTCAACCAAATAATTATGCCTGCTAAGTCGTCACTGCAAAGGACTCTTCCGTGCAGTGTACATCTAGCAGAACCCCTGGCCCTCCTACCCACTACACACCGTTGTCCGTCCCCACTCAAAAAGTCTCCAGACATTGCCAAATGTTCCCTGGGAGCAAAACCACCCTGGCTGAGAAACTCTGTTCTGTATCTCAGCACCTTCATGAGTGACATCACTAATTAGAGTGAAGTAACCACTTCACCTATATGCTTCAAGCCATTGTTAAATGTTGTCTTGGATACATTTTTTTTTAATCACATTTATTCCCCTTCTGATGGCACCACTACCTCATTCCTGCTTTGGAGAATCATCCCCACTCTATGTGTACCCCAGTTCATAGGCTAAAGTGCTTTAGTACAATGCTTCATGCACAGACAATGTAATAGTCAACACACAGTAGGACTTTCTTTCTGTTGGCCAATGTTAGGAGACCTTAAAGCTTCTGAAAACCACTGTGTGGACCCAGAGTACAGCCACCTCAGAGGAGACAGGATGGTGTGATAAAACCTAGGACCACCATTTGGATTCCAAATCAAGCCCAGCCTGAAGCCTTCCCTCCTCCCTAGACTTTGAGTTACCTAAGTCAACGAATTTCCTTTCTGCTTGTGTCAGTTTGGGTTGATGCAACTGCCTAGTATGTGCTAGGTCAGTGTGGCAAATCATGCCAGGGGGTTGTAAATGCATCCTTACTAGTCTTCATGGCAATCTTGTGACATAAGTAATACACTCTACCCACTCACAGAGGCGGCCACATGCGTACAAGAGCTATGTAATTCCCCCAACTGGCTGCCTAGTGCCCTGGGTCCGTCACAGTGGGGTGAGATGGGGTGGGAAGAATACTCAGTCCCAACCCTAAGAGACTGAAGGTGAGCAGAACTTTGCTCAATGTCCCTATGAAGACCCCCCCTCCCCTTCCGTTCCTCAAGGGGAATGCCATGAAATCTGCGCAGATGCCGTCAGCATATGTACAAACCAGTGCCTGGAGAGACTTGACTTCTGTTCATTTATTGATGTGAGACAGGGAGAAAATTCTATTAGTTAATATGAAACTGCCCTGTTTTGAACACATCCAAAAATAGCCAATGAAAAAATTATCTTTATCTTGCTAATAAAGCAAGGCAGATATGAAACCTTCACGCTCAGGGAAACACGAATGATCTTATTATCCTGAGCATCTTGATGGTAACGATAAAAATTCATCTTTATTTGAGTTTCAGGCAAAATATAAAATAGTAATATTACCTTGCACTTAACACTGTCTGGATGCCAGAAACCTAAGTCCTGCTCCAGAAGTAATCATAATAAAATGTCAACGATAACGATTTAGGAGTAACCCAGCACCTTTGAGGTCATCCTGCATTGCTGCTTTGACCTGTAACAGCCGTGCAAGGAAGTGATTACTTGGATAAACTGAGGATGCAGGTGAACATTTTATCCAAGGTCAACATCTAATAAAGCAGAGAGATTAGACTTGGGACCTCTCTGACTCCCAAACCCGTGCTCCGTACCCAGTCCCATGCTGCTTGAGAAAGGCACAGCCTCCTGGGAACACACGATGCTTTCCCTACCGATCATGCAATGTCAGCTTCGCACCAACCTACAAAGCATGACCCCTGAACAAGCCTGCTATTCAAAATAAATAAATATCCCCACTCCCTATAAAACAGGAGGCACAACCCTGTGTGCGTGTGTGGGGGTGGTGGTGTTGTAGTTATTGACATCACCTATGAGAGTGCTTGAATAAAATACCCAAGAGGTCAGACTGCAGAGAGACCAAAGTCATCGCGTGAAATTCCTTTCATTTTTCGCATCACTATTTTATGGCTTTTGGTCCAAGGTCATTGGGATGATCCATAATTTTCATCTACAATTTCTTTCACCTGAGCTACTTCAGTATTATCCCATACCCACTTCTGCCCTCGCTCTCCTACAGCCAACAAAATACCAGCAAGATTACATCACACGCACACTCCAAAATACATCTGCTTCCAGATCGCTATTTCCTGCATCCATTGGCAGAAATACCAAAGTCTTAAAATCATCATCTAACTCCTTGGCAGTTCTACTAGATTTTAGTACGAACAGATTAAACGTTTGCAAGATATGAGTAGTATTAAAACCTGAGAGATTGGGATGATTTCAAAAAAAAGTTTCAAATAGTCACAAGATATTACAAGAGTTTACTACAGTTTTAGCCTCCAGAAACTACCATACAAAGTCACAATACTCTTCCTGCTCCTGTTTTCCATAAATAGTAAATCAAGGAATCAGATTCCTGATCGATGCAGAATCCTCCTGTGTAGCACTAGGAAATAAAAGTTGGGGGGGTGTAATAGGAGTGGTATAATTATAGAAAATCTGTTTCTATCATAAAACATTTAAACCTTAATTTCAGTGGTTACAATTCATATATAAATCATTTCTGGGGTCCAAATTTTCCAAGCCAAATTCTTAAATTTTCCCAGAAGGTTAATGAATCAGAAATTCTGACAAAAGAACACTGCTCTGAAGATTCAAGTTTTAATTTCAAAATTGAAGAAATCTGTGGTCTCTGGGAGATTCATGGACTTTCTTACAGCATTTCCAGTTTACTTAAAAGAGACCAGGGAAGAGTCGTATGGGAAAGAAGAATTAAAACTTTCTAGAATAGCTGTAAAAGCCTCCCAGTGATCATATTTTTGAAAAACAAAATTTAAATAACTGGATTTAGTTTCTTAGGGGATGAACAGATTAGTTTGAGGAGGGCAGGACTGTGATTTGTTCATGTGAATTAGGGTGTTAGGTTTAGAACTTCTGTTTCTACTCTCTCCTCCTATCAAATATCATTTGTTTACAAACAAAAAAAGAATTAAGTCACAAGTTAATGCTTTTCAACTCTAATATCAGCCATATACAGAAGGACTTGCATTTCTCTTCAAAGCTAATCATTTAAAATTCTAAAAAAAAAAAAAAAATGTATCTGTAGTGTTGCAAAAACAAAGAGGCTAAATCCTGAGGGAGGAAGTGTGGAGGAGGAAATGAGGCGCTGAAGTGGCTAATCTGGTAGCTAATGATCAGCCCAAAGGTCCTGGCGCCATCTTTGTTCCCAGTTAACCTCTCAGAGGAAAAAAGGCAAAGTGATAAAAGTGCGTGGGGTATTGGAGACCTAACCCCTTCCAGTCCCACCGTCACTCCCTACATGGGGAGGAGAATTCAGGAACATCCTATACTTCAGTAAAGTCATATAATTAACCATAATTAGTTTAGTGAGGAAACAAATAGAACGTTAATACGAGAGCTTTCCAAAAACCAATAAGTTGGCCTCTACTTAGCCTGACCCAGTAAATGGTATGTTTTTACCAATTTTATCTAGTTCAACCTCAGTTTGCGGTATGGAATCAAACTATGTGATGAAAATCCATGTCCCATTCACAAGCCATTAGCATCTCCCCTGGGAAGGAACCCCAGGGTGGGTACCGCGTATGTACACGGGGAGATGCCAGAGTCGTCCATCTCTGCCATCCCAAACTGTGCTTCCAGTGGGTCTCCTGGGAAGACCCAGGCCTGCAATGATGTGAACTGGGGAGAGGGGGAGGGGAAAGGTAAAGCAACAGTCCCCGAAACTCACCTCCCTGCCTCAAAAGTGAACCAAGCTGCATCTCGTCCATACCGCCGCAGGGCGCTTAGCGGCCAAGAGATGAGTTTGACTCTGGGATTCTGGACGTCCCAAAGGCAGATGTGCTCATACGTAATCTGCAAGGCACATTCGCCATGTACATCTAAGTTAGGAGATGGCATCAAATACACATTGAATCTCTCTGGGAGAAAAACAAAAGGTTAGTCTAAAATCCCCAGGAATAAAACATCAAAGACATCGTAGGAACAAAGAGGCATTTCAAAATAATTCAAGCTCACATTCTTAGGGTTTGGCTGACTACTCAGGAAGACAAACCTTCGCATAAATTAACAGTCCCCCCAAATGATTTTTTAAGTGAACACCCATATTAAATAACAATCGTGATACAGTCTGGCTGTCAACATGCACTAAACATGACATGAGCAAAGTCCATTTTTAGAATTTTTAAATTTGCATAATAAAAAAATGTGGATGCCAATAACACTAAAGCAATCCATTAAAAGCAATTTTTTTTCCCTGACAAGTACGTAGCAATTACACCCACACTTTTGTGTTCACAAAGGATGCAGGTGCAAAGTGCTGGCTGCATGGCTTAATGATATTAAAGTTAGATTGATCAACTTATAATTTTCATAACTAAATGGACAAAACTGTATCCCAAATTATTTATATTAAACTCCACACTAATACTATGCATTTCACTGACCAACAGATGGGAAATACCAATGAATAGCAGTTTTAACAAAGAACTTTCTTTAGCCAAATACAGGATATATTCATTTGCTTATTATTTGGGTGATTGTTAAAATTTCACCAAGATCAATCTATATAAGTAACTTTGGCTTAGGAACACAACCAAATTTTCCCTCCATCTGTTAAAATTTTTAGAAAATTCTTTGATTTGAGAAGTTACAGAGACAAACTCTTTAAGGGAAACATAAACAAAAATATTATCACTAGAGCAAACACATTTTCACCTATCCATCATTATGGTAGGTGGTCAATATCTGGTAAGATAGCGGCATGGCACTAGCAATATTAGTAGAATTCTGGATGAATTGTTTCATAATAAGGAAGTCATTTGAATTGTCATAGATTCTAATTGAATTGAGTAAATAAGTGTGACAAGATTATATTCATAAAATGTATTCATGCATCTATTATTAGAAATGTCTAAGTTATTTTAAACTCCCCATAAGCAAATATTTTCTATGTCTATTGATAGGAGCTATTATTAAAAGTATACTTTAATGGGGGAAGTTTCCCTTGGGAGAATTCTGGAACAAGTAAGAAAAAGTCATGATTCATTGAAAAGTGAGCTTATTACCAATTCCTTTCTTTCTTCTATAACTCTACCCACTCCAGAGCGACAACAGCAATGGGGTAAGAGTGACCACTTTAATTACAATTAGATGGAGCCAAACGAAATAATAGTGTAAAATGCCTTAAAATACCTAGATGGGTTTTGTAATCATGTCTAATAATCATATAACAGAGGTATTTTTATTCCCATTTGACAGGAGAGGAAACTGAGGCACAGAAAACCAGCATGGGAAAAGTCACTCCTAGGAATAGATAATTCTTGAATTCCATTTGCAGCAAACGATCAGGACACAGCCTCACGAATATAAGTTTGTGAAAAATGAGTGCTGATTTGAGCACACTCGATTAAATCAAACAAGAGCCTGCCACGAGCTCCCCTTCATGTTGACGTCATCTGCGTGGAGATGGACGATGGCCAAGAGGACGCATCCACATGAGCCCAGACTAAACATGTCATGGAGACACAGCCCCAATCGGGAGGTGGGGGACCATCTTTTCCCAACAGCTGAGTGTAGACCCATGAAAAGGGTCAGCCCGATTCCGCCTCTACCAGGTTCTAATCCAGCCAGGAGACTCAGAGCCTCTGGGGGTGATCTGTCCTCACAGATCAAATCGATGGTCTCAAACAGAACTCTGGGGTCCCCTCCACCTTATCACAGACTCGGTGACTTGGAGGCAAAGAGATGCCCCAGGCTCATGCTGCAAACAAACACAGACAGGTGCTGCAGCGTTCTCGAGCGTTTTGGTCTTTATTCCTTAAAAAGCTTGGTTCCCAAGGCGCGTGTCAATCTCAAAAAGTTGGCTGAAGGGGTTTCAGTTTGAAAAGCAAAATCACAAATTTAGATGGATTTAAACTTGATGAAACATACATGAAGTTGGGATTTCGTGAACAACAGTGGAAAGATTTCAATAAATTTTTAAGTGGAAAAGACTAAAACCCACTGCACGATAAAATCTGTACATTATAAATACAGGCCCAAGACTACACAGGCCGGAATCCAAAGCTACTTGTAGGAATTAGAGGAAGCGGGTTATCCCCTGAAGCTTCAGTTTCCTCACCTGTAAAATGGGGAGGGAGCAGGGCCTGTGTCATCAGACTGCTGGCGAAATTAAATGATCCAATGGAAGTAGAGCAGCTTCCATAGAAACTGGCGGGGAGCAGATTTCCCTCAAGCTTTCGCTGATATTATAAATGTCGACACATGCACCTGATGTACAGTAAAAGTACTAAGACAATACACTGGAATATTAATGCAAGTTTTGGGTGAGCTTAGAGGTCATCTTTACTTTTTCTTTGCACATTTCTATCACGTCACATAGTGAAGACGTCTTATGTTCAATGGGGAGAACGACCAATTAAAACAAGAGAGAAGGAGAAGAATTTTCTCTACATACCACTCTGTTCTCTCTCAACCCCGGTAGCCAGTAAGTCAGGCTCTCCGAGGCTGATGTCGTTGACCCGCGTCCCCACACACTCCACCTGGAGGACTTTGCACCATTCATCAGCCTCAAGGTCTGTGGAAAAGCAGAGAGATGAACCTGGAGGCCCGGCATCCACTGACGAACTAAAAGCAACATGGTCTTTGCTGCTTCAGACAAACCTGATTCGCAAGCAAAGGTCCTGGAGGTGTCGTCACTGAAGTAGATGCCCACGGCGTGCTTCTTGGTGCTCTTGGGCAGCCGAGCGACGCTCCTCACGTTGTTGAGCTCCGTGACCTGGAAAAGGAGCCGGGGACAGCGGTCACACGTGGACGGTGCGCATCCGCCAGCGACAGCGGGCCTGGGGGGCACCCCGCAGATCAACACAGCTTGACCTAAAAGCGTGCGTGTGAAAGCGGTGGATGATGTGTCCCCCTGAATATACAGCAAGGGGGGTGAACAGATTGCCTGTCCTTTAAAAATTTTTCAAAGCAAATGAAGTGGCCCAGGCTCAAAACTTATCAAGGTAGAAAGCTTGTTTAGCTTTTTTTTTTTTTTAAGATTTATTTATTTATGCACACAAGAGCTGGGGTACAGGCCAGAGATGCGGGTGGTGAGAGGATGCCCCAGAGACAGAGTGGGGAGCAGAACAGGCAGACCAACTGAAATACACTGCTGAGGGGAGACAGGAGAGGTCTGCTGCACCATGTGGGTCAGCTCCCTGGCTGGGGATCGAACTCGTGCTGCAGTAGCTGCGGACAGCTTCATAGGGCTGAGACATAAACCCTTGCGCCACCAGGAAGCCCTCACTTTGTTTTTATCCCTCCTCTGCTCCCCAGTCTGTCTTCTCAATCACTGTGGTGTCATCTATTGTCATCACTGTGGACAGACTTTCAAATACTCTGTCCCTTCAGATTGCTCCCAGCATAAACCCATCACCCCCGAGGAAGGGAAGAGTGATCCATCCATAACTCAATCATTTCACTCTGTCAATCAGAGATGGAGAGCTGAGAGCCTCGAAAATGCCGCATGCTCCAACACACAGTTAGCTTGTGGGATATTTCCTGCTTCTTCCTGACTTACATTCTCCATGGTAATGGGGTCCCTACCTTGGAAGGAAGGCTCCCCATTAGAACTTTATTCTCCTTTCTCTCTCCCTGTCTCGTCGCCTTACTCTTTATAAACTGCTCCCTCTCACGAAGAGTGTTGGGTTATTGGTTTGCAAAATGTCTGCCCCTCACTCAGTGATATTTAGATTCCTTGCTGCCTTCAAAGAGCCTCACACTGGAGTCCTGCAAACAGAAGGCTTGGGCGGCTTCCAAGTAGTGTACGAACAAGACAAATGCCTCTGTCATGGGGACACACTGAACCTCCCCTTAGCATATCTCTCTGTGTTGTTCTATGAAAGAACGTGCCTCCCATCCGTCTTCAGTAATGTTATGATTTCTTCCGTCTAGTTTTCTAAGTTCAATAAATGCCAGGATCAAGAAATAGGTGGGAAGAAGCATAAAGATTCTTCTCCATGTGCATACTAATCTTATTATTACACATTCCTGCTTCTTTACCTACACAAGCTCTTTTTAGGGTATAATTATAAATTTCTAAGCATGAAATATCATAACACTTGCTATAAACTAAATGTTTGCCCCCCAGTTCCTATGTCGTGATAATGTCATGAGGGTGCTGCCTCATGAATGGGATCAGTGCCCTTACAAATGAGGTTCTAAGGTGCCCCTATATCCTTCTTTCACATGAGAACATGGCAGGAAGACACTTTCTACGCCAAAAAGCATATGCTGAATCTTTTGTGCCTTGAGCTTGGATTTCCCCTTCTCTAAAAGTGTGAAAAATAAATTTCTGCTGCTTCTAAGCTACCAAATTTATTCTTCTTTTGTACCATCAGGACTAAGACGCCAGTGTTCTACAAAAGATGGCCAAACCAGTCTCTTCAGTGGCTCCATATCATCTCTTATTCTAGAGTTTACCAGATGCAACCACTTTTTTGTTGTTGTTTATTGAGTCACCACCTCAACACAAGCCACTATCACCTTGCCAGAACTGCTTATCTATCTCTCTTGTTTCATCTCAACCCCATGAATGCACGATTCATGCAGCATCCAGACAGAATTTTAAAAACACGGGTCAGATTCCACCATTGCTGTGCATAAAAGAGGATACTTAAATGACTTCCCATTGCCCTTGGGATAAGGGTCCCAATCCTCAGAATGACCACCAAGGTGCTCTGTTGTCCACCCCAGAGCTACCCCACCAATCTCCTCTCTGATACCATCCCTGTGTGTCCTGTGTCCCAGAGAAGGCCACAGAGAGCAGTGATAGTACAGGTTTTGCTTATTATTGTGTTCCCTGAATCGAACACAGAACGATCACGTAGAGGGACTCCGTGAGTATCATACGACCTGCAGGACGCAGCCACAGACTCCCCTGCTTAGCGCTCCTCCGCGGTAAATGCCTCGTCCCCCTGCCTCTGCTCCAGGAAATCATACTTTTCCTTCAGGTTCATTTTCTTTGGGAAACTTGCCCTGACCTTGGTGTGAATCAACTGTTCCTTCCCTTCACTTCCATCTACGCTGCATGAAACTGTAGTCTGTTAGCTCCTGCTGTCACTAACCCATCGCGTCTCCTGTTCCCAGTGGACACAGGTCACCCGTCACCGCCGTCACGGAGAGCGGCATCCATGAAACACAGACATTGAGAGGAGGCGCGTCTGAGGCTGGGCCGCGCGCCACGCACTGTGCGGAGGGTATTTTTAATACAGAATGTCTCATTTGAGCCTCACAAACCCTACGAGCTAAGACATTGCCTTGATGGGTATTATCCAGATGAGGAAACCAAGACTGGGACAGCTGAGACGCACGCGCCCACGTTCACAGCTGAAAACCAGCTGAGTTCTGAATGCGGCAAACTCGTCCCAAAAGCTGTGCCCTTCACCCCTGAAAGGCCAATAACTAACTCAAAACTCAGAGGAGCTTTAGATTTGAAAGTCGTCTCTGATTTGAGGACCCCTTTCTTTTCCTGGGTGGTCGAAGTAAAGGATGAGCGGCCCAGGCTTGGTGCTGACCCCCTGCTAAGACGGGAGTCAGCCCCCCTGGGCCTGAACACGGCCGTGACACTGAAGCACGTCGCTTCCCTGCATGTCCGTTCAGGGCCAAGTGGAAGGAGTAAGTCGCGTCACCCACAACAGTCAGGAAGTGCAAGGAGAACTGCATGACTCAGAACACAATTACCCGTGCTGGAAATTGGTTTAGATAATAAGCAACCCACACCTCCGCTCGGGAAGTGGGGGATGGGGTGGTGATTGTGTTCACAGAACACAGGATTACATTTTATGTGGGAAAAGACCTTCAGGTTCTACAGCAAGTTTCAGTCCCCAGCTCAGCACTGCATCTCAAGGAGCATGTGCATGCAGTTCCCCAAAACACTCCCCATATACACACACACACACACACGCACACACACGCACATGCACACACCCATGCACACACACACACGCATATGCACATGAGCTCTCTTCTTACTTCCAAAAGAATTGCAATCTACACGACTCCATAGCTGAGTCTTCCTCAGAAACGTAATGGTGATTATTACAACCAACACAGGTATCTTCATAAGTCAAAAATTTTTATAAGATATGTTTATTTCTACCATCACTCCATTTTGTAAACAAGAAAATTGAGGCAAGGCATATTTTTAATACTTCTTTGATCAGGAAATCATTGGTCTCCGAAAACGCACTCTCGCAGCAAACTGATATTGATCAGGTCGCAGATTCACCTTTGAGAGGGACGTCACTTGAACTGGGGGCGACCTAATGTCTCTGGCCATGAAAAGCAGACTGCACGGAAGTCCCCAACTTCCTCAGGTTCTTGGAAACTGGGACTTTGAATGAACAAAGGATAAAGAAAGTAGGTCCTTGAATAAATATCATTTCCTTCATCAGCAGCCGGGATTTTTCCTTCTCCATGTTAGGGTAAAATGTTGAACAAGGCAACGGTATCGCGGTTCTGCCGCCTGGGCCCTCAGCACCGCTTCCAGGGGGCCAAGAAGCCAGTCTACTCGCACGCAGCAACATTCACTTCACCCTCAGTTTGAATTTCTTCTTTATCTCTCACATCTCAGGTCTGCCAGAAGTTGTTTCCTGCCAAGCTCCAAACTTTTTAGGAAACTCCCTCCTGAGTGTCTGCAGTTATAGCTTTTATTTTTCTTTCACATCAGCAGCATACAGACACCCCCAGGGCTCTGCATGAATTACACTGGGTACAGATTCACAGATAAAATGTAAAACTCTCTCAAGGTCAAGCATTCAAAGAAGGATTGTAGTAGAACCACATTCCTTCTTCAGCCTTCTTACACCCATTCATCCATCACAAAGTCTAATTCATTGTTTATTTACTATTTATTTATGCATGCATTCATTCATTAAAAATATTTTGTATCAAGTATGGTTCTACTCACTGGGGATGAGACAGCCAATGAGACACAGACACTCTGCCCCTCTGCAATTTAAATTCCAGTGAAGGGAGAAAATAAGTAAATGGAAGCATTTCACCAGAAGGGCTATGAGAATAAATAAAACTGTAAAAAGAATTTGGTGTGGGCTCAGGGGATTTTGTTATTTTATATCAATAAACCCCTTTCTGACAAGGGAGCATTTGAGCGGAAGACCATGAGAGTGAACTTGGGGATAACTGAGACATGTCATACCAGACGCAGGTAATGGAAAGGTTCAGTGCAGTAAAGAAAAGGAGAGCCAGGCTACATTTCTCAAAGGAAGGGAAAGTTTATTGCGCCCCGGGCGGACCTCACAGACCCAAGGCGGGGGTCAGTGGAGTCGCGCACGTTGTCAGGGGGAAGCAGGGTTTTATAGGGTGAGGAGAGGTCAGGTGGGTAGTTGGGCTCGTTCGGCGGGAAAAGTGTGTAGGGCGCGAGAAGTTTCGTGGGGCAGGTAGAGGTTCTTTGTTTGAGAAGAGACTCATGGGGGGAGGGGGGAGGCTCATTGTCTGAGTCCTCCAGGCAGGTATCCGCATTCCTACCCCCCAGGTGGGCTTCCTGGTTGGCTCCTGCATTCAGGCCTCCTGCATGGACCTTTCAGTAATGTGGGTGCAAAGTTCCTGAGGTAGCAATTGACCTGTCTGGCAAGGATTAGGTTTACTTATAGGTCTTAACATTTGACTCCCCCACCCCCATGCTTGATATTTGTGCTAAGGGGTAAGCCATCTTTGATGTCCCTCTGTATCTTTCTACCTCCCTTCCCCATAAGGCTGTGCAGCTCATGTAAA